TTCTTATGCAAATCTTCTATGACAAAATAAAAGAATTCAAATTCAAAAACGTATATTTTCGTATATTTTTTATATTAATACCATGAAATAATATCCTAACCAAACAACTGATTGAATTAAATAACTATTATCAAACGCTTATGTTGTGTATTACCAAATACTAGATACAATTAAATGTTATTATAATATTATATTTAATCTTCTTTTTTATTCATCTGTATTTTATTAGACTATATTATATTATTTAATTCATTCATTTATAATACGGCAACTAAATGAGCTTATATAATATAGAGATATGCAATTTTGTGTACATGACCCTTAGTTTAAAAAAATAGTTTTTTTTTAATTATAAATAAATAAAAACAAATTGAAATTGACACAAGTAAGAGACTTGATATATCTGCCCCACCACCATCTCATTTCCTTTTTATTTTTTTATTTTACCTTCTTTAGTGATAATATTTGCAAATCTTTACAAATCAGAGGAAGTCAATAACTGGTCACAAGGACCAATTGTACACTGTTCACCCAACTTTGCTTATTTTTTTATTTTCTTTTTTTATTTCTCGCTCCATCATGCTGCACCCCACTGCTTATTCTTATGGGTAAATTATATAAATAGTCCCTCAAATTTGCCACTTGTCACACTTTGATCCTTAAAATTTTAATTTCAAATTTTATCCTTAAAGTTCAAACATTGAACCAATCTGGTACTTGACACTAACCAACGTTACAAAAATTGACGGAAAATGCCATGTCGTGCATACTTTCAAGGGTATTTATGGCATTTTGCAAGCAAATCTGATGGCAAAAATGTCAAACAAAAAACCAACACCATTCTCCCATTTTNACAAGGGTATTTCTGGCATTTTGCAAGCAAATCTGATGGCAAAAATGTCAAACAAAAATCCAACACCATTCTCCCATTTTCTCCTCAAATCCTTCAACCCAACTTGTAGAACCTCACCCAAAATCGGCTGCCCTTGCAACTCCCCAACCCGACCATCGACAGCCACCATATCTGTTAGGCATTAGGAAGTAAATGCCATTCGGCACACACTTGAGGAGTCCATTGTCAGTCGGTAAACTGTCTTAGCTGGCCACTACCAGTCGATAAGCTGCCTTGGTTGGACAGTGCCTGTCGACAACTGGTTTGGTTGGTAGCTGTCAGACGGCACTCGCTTTGGGCAAGTCCTCACTCGTCCACACTTGGTACTCAAAACTACTATTGGTCAGCTACCATAACTCCATCCAAGTTATTGTCATCCCTCATACATGCTCACTTCCTCTAGACGAGTCCTACTCGGTGAAAGATTAACCTATGACCTAGAGTCCTAATCTAATATCACTTTGAATATCTAAGAACTGGTGATGGGGCACCAAAGAGGTAGAGTCTAGGTAAAATGCTACTTCGAGCAATCGGGAGCTAGTTATAAGGACTGAGGACCAAGAGTTATAGTTTAACTCAACTCTAAACTTCTGGGACTTGATGACGAGGTTGAGCTAATCAATCTAGAGTTCGGGTTCCTTTGGGACACATCTCCCTACCATTATAAACTATGAAGCACGGATACGGATACGGGATACGGATACGATACGATACGGATACGGAATACGACAAAAAAAAAATAGGATACGGGTACGGCTAGAATACGTCTATAAAATATATATTTTTTAAAATTTTATTATTATATTTAATGTAATAATTATGATTTATAAAGTAAATCACACTTCTATCAAATATATATAATAATAACTAACCATCAGAGTCAGTCGATCGTCAGTGTGAGTGAGTGAGAGAGAGAGAGAGACGATCGTCGTCGAGTATCGACTGAAGGGAGTGGAGGGCTTGACGGGCAATGGAAGAAAAGTGTACAGGTTTTAGTCTTTTAGACTTTTAGTTTAATATTTTTTTTTTTGCAAATAAGGGGCCTAAATATATTGCTCTTGTGCCCCTATACTTTTTTAAAATTCGAGTAATACCCNTATGCCCCTATACTTTTTTAAAATTCGAGTAATACCCGCCGTATCCTTATGCGTATCCTAGGCGTATCCCACGCGTATCCAAAACGTATCGGAAAACTAATTTTTTTTTTTTAATTTTAGGATACTTCTCAGACGTATTCGGTACGTATCCGACGCGTATCTGTATCCAAAAATATCCGATACGGATATTTTGACCCTTTTGAAAGTATCCGTGTTTCATAGATTATAAATCAAGGCCCCAAGTACCAGTTAAGACATTCAATCTCATCATATTCACTCAATACTTCTCTTTGACTTGTGATCTGACTTAAGTACCAGAGTCTCTTTGATTGTCTCTGGCCATCGGTTCACCTAAGTGTTCTCTTGTCTTACAGATTCCACGAAACTTTTTCACCACCCCATCCTTCCATACGACGTGGTTAGTCTTTGTGTGAAATTATTCTCGCACAACATCCATTACCCCACCACCACCCCATTCTCCTTCACCTCAGCCACAAGCCAACCAAATTAGCAACCAGCATTTGTTACCCAACCATTACCCCTTCCTTTTCCATTGTTGTCTATAAGCCACCACCACCTATACTACCACACGCCTGCAACACACCACTGTCGCCTCCCACAAGACACTATAAAAATCGAACATCAAGTACCCATAAACATTTCACAGAGAAAAGCGTAGAATTTTAGATATAGAGAAAGAAATAGAGGGTTAGAGAGAATTTCACAATCAAAGTCAAAACACCCAAACCAATTCATACCTAATTATTCTTCAATTCAGCTTTGGGTACATGAATCTGATTAATGAGACATTCTAGGTCAATGCAATGAATTGGAGCTTGATGGCAATGGAGACCTAGAAAAATGAGGAGGTGCATTTAGCTCAAACCCCCCACCCTCAGCATCAAGGCAAGCCCAACACCTTTATTGCCATGTGAGTGAGTGAGAGAGAGAGAGAGAGAGGGAGACAGAGATGTGTTGTTTTTTGTTTGTGTGAGGTCGAGGTCTAATTGAAGACTAGGCGGCATAGAGATAGAGAGACAAAAATAGGGGGCTTGTGTTGTTTTGTGTTGGGCTTCTGTGTCTCCGTTTGTGAGTTTGTGTTGTATTCGTGTACTGTGTGGCTGCAAGGACTCGAGAGACAAAGAGAGGTTTAGAAGGAGAGAAGGGCTAAGAGATGAATTTGGAGAGAGAGATATGGAAAGAGAGACGCATGTATCCCCAAATTTACGTTTGGATTGAAAATTCAATCATGGGTTCTCAACCCCCGGTTTGTAGCTAACCTGAATATTAAACTCATAATCATAGGTTCCGTCAAACTTAGAAGGGGTGTGTTTGAGGAAATGAGTTAAAGGATTAAGGATGCAAAAAATAATTGTATCCCTTAACATTGGGTATGAATTTGACTGATCAATAACAAAATAGTCATTTAAATGATAAATAGTTATTAATAATTATGATATATTTGTAGGTCTTACATATGTATGTATTGCATACCAAACATGAGTATGGATCGAATTCAATGTTGAATATTATCTTTGTAAAAAGAGATTTGGGTTTGAAAAGGTTTGGGGAACCCAATTCAAACCCTCCCAAAAATCTATCCAAACAAGCCTAGAGAGATAAATAATTGTGGGTTTGAGGTATACAACTGAGCATGGGTAGAAATAGAGAGAAGTGCAAAGAATATGTGAGAGGGGACAAAAAAAGAAAAGGAAGAAGAAGATGCATGTTTGGATGTGAGTTTAATATAGCCCGATAGCAAATAATAATGTTTGGATGCATTACTTATTATAAAGTGCCAAAAATGACCCTTAAAATCTACACGTGACCGGCACATGGTATTTTTTGTTAATTTTTATAATGTTAGTTGGTGCTAAGAACTAGATTGACTCAATGTTTATACTTTGGGGATGAAATTGATGAAATTAAAACTTTAAGGACCAAAGTGTGACGAGTGACAAACCTGAGGGACTATTTGTGTAATTTATCCTATTTTTATTTACTTTCTCTTTCTTCGTTCTACATCTTTTTTTTTTCTTTCAACACTAGCTGTACTGGATAATCATCACATATAAGAATTATAGGCATTAGAAGTGACCACGGCACAAGCTCATTCTCTATATAATTTACATCATAAAGTCAAAAGCTATGTAAATCACTAGCTGGTTAAAATTTTATTAGAAGCAAGAAGGAAGAAAAAAAAAAAAAGAAATCATAATACTTATCAAACCTATACATGCCTAGCTGTAGCACAAGTTGGAAATAGAAGATTAGGATGGACAAGGTATTTACATATGACAGAAAACATGTAACTTTTTTTTTTTATCTAATTGATGTATACCTACGTTGCAGTGAATAATTTCAAATTATCTTTGTTTAGTAGCATAGAGTTCTCATCATTTATGCACAACATACAATGTGAACTTGTAGAGGGACAAGTGCATGTAATTTCAAATTATTCTTTTTCCTCTTCCCTTCCCACTCTAATGTGATCTAAGGAGTGAAACATATAAACCCTTCCCACTCTATATTTCAATTACTATTGTTCACATGAAAGTTAATTTTGTAAGAGCAATACTACTTAAACGTAATTTATTAAGCAAATTGTTGACCAAATCATTAATTTATTAAGCAAATTGCGACTTACAGTCAATCCAATGATTGTAAAAAACTAAATCAATTAACTTTAACAGCAAATTAGATTCAACCACCTTTTTTTCTTTTTCTTTTTCTGTCATTTTTTTTTATTAATAAACAAACTGATTATTTATTGATAGGAAAATATGGCACTTAGAAGAAAGGGAAAAGCAGAAACACCCATAACAAAAAACACAGCCTCCTTACATCTTATCTTTCAACCATCTGAATTAGATTCAAGCATAAAAAACAACACAACACTTACTACTTTTTACAAGATAAAACAAAGCAGTACATCACACATTGCTAGCCCAGGATTTTCCACCATCTACGCTCAGAAAGACAGTTTATTATTATTAGTTAATGATACTGCGTCACCGCTTTAATATGTAAGGACTATGGTCTCCCTGATCAGGCTTCCAACCAAGTTTGAATTCTTGTTCAAACACCTTTCGATTAAACACGATTCTGGGTTCCACAGGCTGTTCTAGCTGAGTAACACACAGTACTGACCTTTTCACCGAAGAGAAATACTCTTTTATTGAATTCTCCGTCATCAAACGACTCGGAGTTGCTAGTACTCGCAACATGATCGCGATCTCTCCAAGGACTGGACCTCTGTCCAGACACACATACAATTCCGACGAGGGGAACCTAGTATTCGGTTTGAACGAGAATTGAGACTCCAACAAATCCAACAACTTGGCTCTGGCTGAACCAGTATGCAAATCATCAAACGACACAGAACCCAATTCCCCCAACACTGAAAGGAACGATTCAAGTTTCGCAAATCTCAACATGTTAACACAATTGAAATTTAATCTGGGATAGTATCCATAGTTTGTCGAACCATCATCGACTATGTTCATCAAAATCGAACCCTGATCAGAGTAATCCATGACCAAACAAGCAAGACTTTTTTTATCTAGGAACCCTAATTCAAAATCCTTACCAGTAACAGTACAGCTCCTCTCCCAAACCTGTCACAGCCTCAAAGATCGCCTTCTTTGACGCTCGATTGATACCACTGAGCTTCTTGGTCTAAAAGAACCAGTCAATCGTCTTCCTAACCAGCTTCATTTCCTCCTTACCGGTTGATCGTCGACGAAATCGATGATTCGCTTGCCTCGGCGATCTAAGGTTCTGAGAAGCTCGCCGGTGGGTTCACAGACTTTTAGGGCTACTAATTGGACATTGAAGAAGCCATGGACATCGAAGAGTCCAAAAATCTACAGAAAAAAGTGGAAAATGGGTTGTCTACAACGGGAGCGAAAGGGGGGCTAAAAAGGAGAGAGGAGTGAAGGGTGAAGATGATGATTCTGACGATGAGGATCGAAGCAAAGAGAAGATAAAGAGTAAAGAAATCGGCAGACGAAGACTTGGAAAAAGGAAGTGTATTTTCACTTAGCCCTCCTATGGTTGTTTGATTAAGGTGCTCTGTTACATTTGTCATCCAATTTAACTCTCCGTATGGGTCACGTGTCTGTAAGAGAGTGTATCCTCCAATATTTGAATATCTAAATTGTTATCATATATTTATATTTTTAAATTTTTAAATTATGTCTAACATCTTTTTTAATTTTTTATTTATTATATATAAATACCAGTATCTTTAAAATTTTTTGATATGTTATTTTTAAAACATATATGCATCACTATAATTTTTAATAAAACGTTCAATTTATTTTATTTTAAATTATCAATTTAATATTACTCATTTTAATTATAAAAATAACATTATCCTTGCATATGTGTATTTCTTTCATCCAAAATTTTAACCACTTAATTTTTAAGATAAAAAAATAATATTTTACGTAGTTTTTTTAAAATAATTTATATTAAATCAACATAATTATTCAATTAGAGTAAACTTTTCATATTTTATTAAGAATTTATATAAAAAAATATTATATTATATTTTTAAGTAAAACTTAAATTTTAGAATTTTAATATTTTTTTAAAATATATATTATAGAGTAGTATATTAAATTTTAGGTGAATAGTCCTTTTAGTCTCTAAAATATGCATGTTTTGTTAGTTTGATTTTCATTGCATCAATTTTGTTAATTTGGTTCTTAAAGTACTTACTTAATGTTTAAATGATCCATATATAAACAATTTGTTAAGTTTTTTATAGAAGTGATCACATGATACTATTTGACGGAATAACATGTGGTTGGTTATGTTCATCAAAAAACTTAATTGATCATCTGATTAGGGACCATTTAAACAAGAATTAAATATTTTAAGGATTAAATTAACAAAATTTATATATTGAGAATTAAACTGATAAAAAGCGCAAACTTTAGAGAACTAAAGTGTTATTAATCTTATATTTTATCCTTATTAACCTAAATAATTATATTAAGCATTAATTAAAATTTTAAAAATTATTTTTATTTTATTCAATGAATTATAAGTTGAAATATAATCAAATGAATTTCAAATAAATTATTTTTATCTTTTTCTTTTCATACTTAAAACAATAAATCGTTAGAAATAAACAATATTTTTGAATTCTATAATATAATACGAGCAATAAAAATATAATTTTGATAAACTTGAAATGATATTTAATGTAAGTACACATATACTTAATACTTTTTATTAATAATTTATATATGAAAATTATTCTCGTGCAGCACACGTGGTGCATTACTAGCTCTATAAAATATGTGCTAACTTTACAGTGTCTCACACACACACACAGACACAGAGATGTGGTAAGTTTGTAAATTTGTTGGATCTTGACATGAAAGGTAAATTTGGTATTTTATAAAGAATTTGGTATGATATCATCTCTTTTCCGTTTGTCAATAACGTTTATTAACGGTGGGGAATTTGAATGAGACGAACGTATTAACTAAGAGGGAGTATAATGAAATTTTAGATAATACAGGGAATATTATTGAAGATGGCATATTCTACCGGGGATGATGATCCTATTTTAAAAGGTTGGAGAGACTTTGAATAAGGAAGTCTACGGAGAGAAAGTGACAAATGACATGAAACATTTCTACTTTCCCAATTGAAAAGATCGGAAAGACTTGGAAAATGGAAGTCTATGGAGAGAGAGTTTCACAATTTATACTGTAAAAGATTAAAATTTTAATATTATATCCATAATTAAATAAAAATATAATAATGTATTTTATTTTTAAAAAATTAAGTACAAAACTTTTATTTAAAACACTTATACCAGTAATTAAGTATAAAACTCTGATAAAAATATTTGTTCAAAATACAACAAATATTTGATTTGGAATCATACAATGTGAGAATTTTTATTTTTTTTTATAATATAAACTTGGGATTATTTAGGACACAAAGTGTCATTCAGACGAAAAACAAAATATCAGAAAGAGGGGGGGGGGGGGGGGGGGGNTCAGAGAGAGAGAGAGAGAGAGAGAGAGAGGGGGGGGGGGGGCATCTGCTAGCCCAACCCGTTTCTAAATTCATTCCAACATGACATATGACACAAGTACAACGCCTGTTCAGTCCAACCCAAGCAACGCTAAGTCGAAAAATAAAAGATGAGAAACAATTTATTAAAACATGTTGTTTAATTTCTAAATTAATTGAACATAAAATAACTAACACAAAACCTAAATGAGAGAGAATTTTGGAGAATGATATCAGTCTCTTTTTTTTTTTTTCTCATTTTGTTCCACACCAAATTAGGCCCAACTTAGAGACTCAATTCAAAAATATAGATCAAACCCAACTCAAATATACAGATCAAGGTCATCATAAGACCAAGGATCAACTCTCACTATCTTGAGAGACTCAATTTATAACCGACACACAAGAAGATATCTACGGAATTGTCTTACCTGTTACGAAAATGACGTCATATCTACAGAACTGTCCACCTGTTACGAGCATAGTGCCTCAATATGTTAAAAGACGCCTATAATTGTAAGTCACACATACACAAGGGGAGTATCACACAAATCTCAACACTCACACCTGAGCATTCTATATTTCTTGAATAATAAAATACTCAACTCACCCTAACCTTTCATAGTGTAGTAGGTCATCCCAACCAAACCACTTTATTTGTGTTTGCCTATGTTAAGTCTCATTCTCAATTGCTGCATTAAATACTTGATAGATAGTGTATAAATTCATTTTGTGCATTATCACACTTCATTCAACCTAAGGAGTGTCTTTTATAAATCAAACAACAGGGTGGAAAGCCAATAATTTAGCTTACCAACCACCCTATTAAATACAAGTACTATTTATTATTATTCATGCATAATAATACATCATATTTATTACTCTCTTCATTTCTAAATATCTGTCGTTTTATACAATTTTTTTTGTTCCATAATATCTATCATTTAATGAAATCAAAGTATAATTAATATTTTTTCTTTCAAATTTACCCATAACTTTTAAATGCATTAGATTAGGTGGAGGCTAAGTGTCTTTTATATTTATTTCCTTCTCAATACGTATTAAATAAGGGTATTTTAGTCTTGTATAATTATTTTTTACTCATATTATAGTTATTTAATAGTTTCCTTAATTCCTGTGCAAAAACCTTAAACAACAAATATTTAGAAACAGAAGGAGTATTATTTAGTATTATGCATAATTATTTGTGCACAGTAGTCATCGTCCTATATTTACAACACTCCGCCTTCCCCTTATATTATTGAAATAACATTGGGGCTTGAAATTTAATTTTGATAAAATCGTTGGCATCATAAGTTTTGTCTGGTTTAAAACCTTACTAAATAAAACTCAGTAAAAAAAAAATTAACAAATAGAAAAATACATGTCTTGCCCTCTCGAATACATCCAATCAAAATAATAATCGTCACACCCCATTTCGAAAAACCTCCTTTACATCAGAAAATGATGTCATTGTAAAAATATCATCAAAGAGAGCCTTGGATGATAATTAGGGGTGGTCATCAGGATGCCTGGTAGCACGCACGCAATCAAGCATAATGCCATGGGTGGGCTTTGTCAGTTGGCCCATAATATCAATATGGGCCAAATTTACTGGTCTTTATTTCTTGAACTAGTTTTCGTCAACAAATTGGAGCCCACCCAAAATAAAAAATAAAATATTAAAAATTATATCTAATTAACCTAAATGTCTTGAGTTTGAATTACAAAAATAAATTTTAATATAAAGTACAATACAATTTAAGTCTCAAAAGATAAATAAAATAACTTTTACTTTTCGCAGTTGAGATCTCTTTAAATTTTACTTTAAAGTTAATTCGATAACTAATATTAATAGTAAAAATTAAATAGAGAAAATAAGTCTCTAAGGGTATATGTGTTTGTGTGACTTTTTACAAGTATTTTTAGGAGTTATAACTTTTTATAAATACTTTAAAAAAAATAAAAATAGTGTTTGAAAACGCATCACCACCACTATCACCACTACCACCGCTACCCTACCACCTCCACCACCCCCACCACCATCCCCATTACCACCACCATCGTCGCAATCGCCACTACTACAATTGTTGCCCACCCCATCACCACCACTACCACCGTTGTTACTACCTTACGACCACCGTTGTCACCACCCTACCACCACCCCCCATCGTCCCACCATCATAACCACTACCACCACCATTACCCTACTTCTATTGCCCCACCGTTACCCCCACCATTACCACCATTGTCTGCCACAATCGTCATCCGCTGCCACTACCCACCATAATCGTTATCGTATTCTTATGATTATTACCACTACTAGCATCATCCAACTACCACTGTTGCCCACCGTCAGCACCCACCACCACCATTGTTGCCTATCACCACTCGCCATCGCCCATCATCGCTGCCAGCTACTATCACTCACCTCCACCGCACCTACCACCGCCACTATTTGCCACTACCCATCACTCTGTCATTCAAAAGCATCCATCGTTGTCCATTACCACCATTGTCACTACCCAACACCATCGCTACAACCACCGTCATCGCCCCACCACCACCATCACCATCACCCATGGCTGCCACTATTACCATTGTCACCTAAAACTACCACCACAATCACTGTTGCCACCCACAGTTGTCATCATCACCACAATTCTCACCACCATCACCACAATTGTCCCCACCCCACCACAACCATCACCTTCTCCCACCACCACTACTGCTGTCCACCACCACTACCATCACTCACCCTACTACAATTGATGCATAAATTATAAAACCACGTATTAAAATTAAAGAACAATAATATTATTTTAAAATTTCTCCTAAGACGAATAAAATAAGGGAAAAAACTTAGAATTATTGTTGAAAGATTGATTACAAAGTTTGAGTTTTATGCGTATTTACATTCGGGGTAAATTGAGTTTTGGAGATATTTAAGTTTAAGAAAGGTAGTTAAGTAATTTTATAAATATATTTAGGTCAAAATAAGATTTTCATTGAATCTAAAAGGTCAAAAAATATTGGAAGAGGTTATATGAG